ATTTAATACAACTATCGTCTCTCGGGAACCAACGCTTAAAAAAAGGGCAATTAAATAAAGGATATTGAAGGATCCAGTCGAGGTACTCCAGGGAGATAAAATGGATAAAATGATATATTTTTGCATGAAATAGCAATCGATCCTTCCGCTCCAAAATTATTTGATTCTTAATGAAAAGATTTAGTACGCAAGTTGACAAACACGTATCAGTTCTTTTCCGGTTGACATGACTTTTGCCTCATAGATTAATTGAAAGCGCTTTAAAAAGAAGAAATTGTGTAGGTTTTTTCCTTTGTAACTTCGGAATCAGAATGTTCAGGAGTAGAAAATTGCACAAAGCCAAGTTGAAGTCACAAATTCAATTAAACCTGATTTAAAAAAAGGGTAATATAGGAAAAGAGTGCTGTGAGGTCGGCCTTCAAACAATACATGTCCAAGTGCAAAGGGGAAAATTACCATTTGAGAAAAACAACAGGAAGTTGACGTGTTATATAACACACCCAAATATAGAAAATGGGAGCTCGTGAGATCTGACTTTTCACCTGCTGACCTCGTGAAAATAATGACCATTCTCCGTGTTTCAACATGCTTTCATGTCGTGCATTTGTCTGTAACCTGCTGGTGTAATTTTGTTCGTGGATTGCCTGAAAGGACTTGCGTCAAACTGTATCAGAGTTGTTCCCTATTATAGGTATGTTAGTAATATATCATTATTATATTTTCAATAGCGAAGTGCAGTGTTCTCGGCGTGCGTGGAGTTTGTGGTGCCATTACCCTTAAATCAGTTGCGCGCATATTTTTTTTGGCGCTTTGCAATATTATCTTTTAATTAGAAGTCAACTCTATTTTTCGGAAAGTTAATTTAACCAAAGATGGAGAAAAACTAAGAGCAAGAGACATGTTCTCTTGCTGAGAGGTAATGGTTTATCAAAGAGAAGAGAAGTGAAGATCTGATTGTAAGAAGACAGTGAGAACGTTTTTGACGATGCGAGCTTCGCTGTGAAGAAATTATCTCAAAATTCGAATCACGAAGAAAAAACATTTATCTTCGATTCGCCTTTATTCTAGTATGTCTTTTTCAGCGAAAAGGGTAAACGTACGCTGTCCGCCCACTAACTAAAAAATGTCCTTGACGCTCCAACCTTCTTTTCAATCAAACATCCTTTGCGGGTCAAAGGTTGCTAAACGTTTGTCCACAGATTAAAGTTCGAGTTACAAAGTCAGGGATATCGATTCCTTTGGTATTATTAACGATGGAACTCTTTGGCGCTTTTAGGGTGACAACAAGTGTACCGCCAAATTGGTTTTATAACACTCTGGCACAAGATTTACGTGTTTTCTCATTGGTGTGAAACTTTTTTTTTTGTAACATTAATGTGCCAAATTGTTGTTAAAGTGATGTCGAACAAGCGTATTCCTTTTTTTATTTTGTTTGTCTTCGTTTCAAAGCGTACACTTAGAGCCAACATTAACCCTTCAGCGATGTTCCAGAAAAGCGGTTGAAATGTTTCTTGGGACCTTTCGTTCTTGTCGTAAAGGTTTGAGTAATGCGTCCCTATTTTCTTGAAAAATCATTATACTTGCAAGAGGGAAACTGCAAATTCCCGATCTGTGGAATAGGACTGTGTTGTAAGAATCGAAAACCATACTACAATTACTTTGCTGTAGGATCTTGTTACAAATTGCGTAGACTGGACGATTAATACGAAATGCGTAGCTCGCCTTCATTACAAAGTGCCTAAGTTAATACAAAATGCCGCAAAATGTGTCATTTTTACAAAATTTCGCAGAACAGCTTTTAGGCTAAATGTGTCGGACTTTATTCCTCACAACAACATTTCAAAGAGCTAGCTAAAAGGATAAATTCGAATCGAACAGAACATTTTTAGGTTTTCCAAATGGCTATTTGAAATTTGAAATTCTCCAGTTTTAATTCTTCAAGGGACCATTTAAAAAAAGTTGCTTCCGTGTAACACCTAGAGGCCTTGAATGTGCTTTCCGAGAAAAACTTATCAAAAAGCTTGGCAGCGAAATGCTGACAACAAAAATGCTTAAAATTTTACGAAACGAATTGAAGATGGTTTGTAGGCATGAGTTTCCTCTCTCCAGTCTTCATTTCCTGCACCTACGGACTGACTCCCCCTCCCCTCCCCCCTTATGCACTGTTACCGTTTTCTCGTTGGAAAATGATTGTCTGAAAACATTCTGAAACAGATGAAAAATGTTTTTTTTTTATTAATCTTTTTTCTTCAGTTGTACATGATACGCTTTAGGACGAGATGAGTAATTTACTCTAAATCTCGAAAACAAAGTAAACATTCAAAATTTTTCTTATTCAATCTAAACGTCGGATATGGCATGTGACGTGACTGAGCAGTAGTGAGGATAGATTTATAATATTTGTATCTACAATCATTATTTTTTTGCGCGTGTTTTTTGAGAAAAAACGATACTCACAAGATTTTCGAAATCTGAGACAATCTGACTTTTGATGCACATCCAAATTTCACACTAACGAAAAGCAACGATGAAATCATTCGTGAAATAGACTGGTTATCAAGCAAAATCCATGAACAACTAAAAAATAATCTTGCTCAATTCGTACAACCACTCTCACGTGGGCATAGATCACATGTTCATGTGACTGGCACGTGCACAAGTGTTGCTAATGTCTCAGTAGCAAATTAGTCGAAAAACAACGCGAATTTCCGGTCTCGTGCCATGTTCTATCAGTGGTTAAAAACTGTTTTAATACCCTTTTAGGCTTGACGGACGATCAAAGCAATCGAAGGAAAGGTAAATATATTTTTCGGGCTATATAATCAACCAAAATTAATGTGTTATTCGATTTGCTGACATTTTCAAAATGAACACAATTTATGACACAAACAACGAACAGTTGATTCACACTAAAGCAGAATTTCTTTTTCAGTCACTATCTAACGAATTACCGTCACTGATACATGTAAATGTAACAGTTTAAGAAAACAAATTCGTACTGGCTTCGGAAACTACAGTGGAAATGTGATATTCTCAGGCGATTGTTGCTTACTGAAACCTCAACCCCGCGCACGAAAATGGATTTGTAATTTCGCGTCATTTGATCCAGCGGTTTCCCAAAACATTTAATTTAGGTATAGATCCAGTTCAAACAAGATGGCGAATCGAAAAGAGACACTTGTGTCTGAAGTTTTATGTTTCATTAAAAGAACAAAGTATTTTCACCATTTTAGTCCATGGTACAACATATCCTGATATGGTTTAAAGCCATGCCAACTAAGATCTGTTCCCTTTGGTATCAAAAACCTTCTAATAATTAAGAGGAAATTCAAAATTTCAAAATATTTTCACAAAGATTTTGTAGATCTTTTATGCACATTTTGTTTGTTTTTCATTAAAATTTTCCACAGTCTTGCTATAAAAGGATACTTTTGGTTTTATAGATGTAGGCGTCTTTTTTAAGGGCATAATTTTTTTCCCACCTCGGCGAAAAGTAATCATTTTCTTTGCAGATTTATTTTGTCCTCGGAGGCGCTTAAACTTTCACTTTGCCACTTAAAATTTTCACTTTAGCACTTAAACAGAGGTGATACTATGATTTCCAATTTAGATGATCAGTGTGGCGCGGTTTGTCTTAAGTTTCTCAGTCATTATCGGAAGGGATGTCAAACTTGTCATGTAAAAAGGATATACCTCGTGGTTTCTACATGCGGAGATTTAATTAAAGCAATGTATCAAAATAAGAGAAATAGATGACATTTAATCAAATTCTAGGCACGTTCCCGAGCGCTGAAAACACGATTTTAAATGCGCAGCCTGATCTAGGCGACGTTGGTAAAATTAAGAAGTGTAAGCTTCCAAATTGGCTTTTATGACTGTTTAAGTAAAAAATGATAACAGCATCTTCATCAAAAATATGCGGATCTGATCTGAAATGCGAATTGTTAAGTTGGAGCTCATTTTAACGTTGCATAAAAAACATCCCCCAAGGATGAGATATAAAGTCTACTCTGATTTGATTTTTTGAAATTAATTCAATCGCCTATAAACTAAGGCAAATGCAAATTTATCTTGTTTTCAAAAACTATAATTTTCTGAATGACAATTTCTCGCATTTTGGCCGTGTTTTACAGAATTTTTGGAATTTTTTGAACGACAATTCCTCGCATTTTGGCCTTGTTTCATTGAATTTTTGAATTTTTTTTACAGAATTTTTACAATAACAATTTTTGAAATTCCAAAATTACAACCCCACCAAATCAAACAAAAAAAATTCAGATGCGTCTACCGAAAATTCCAATCAGAGGAAGCTGTTCAAAAGTATTTTTTTCATGGTGATTCAAATCACGTGCACTTAAATGCATTTTTTATGGTTATTTTCTCAATCTCAGCCTATGCCAACTGTTTTCTGCGTCTTGTTAACGGCCTTCTTTCGCCAATGTTTCCGGTTACATCTTATATTGTCCACTTTTCAAACAATGCTTTGTAGACTGTATACTATTTTGCACAATTACGCTAATTTTTTTTTGCATGCATCTGTCTACAGACGACTAACTGCCATTGGTGAATGAAGGTTTTACGATGTTTTTTTTAAACAAAATTTTGAATGCGGAAAATAGCTTTCTTTAGTAATGCCGCAAAGATTACTTTAAATTTTTATGCACTTGATAAGAGCGTATATCACGTGCGCGGGTGAGGTGTTATTTTTTATTTGTCAGTTTTTTTTTTAAGGATCAAGGGAAGTGCGATGCTTGGCTAAAATTTACACCCTATATTCGTATTATTTATGATTGTTGTGAAAACATACCAGAAAAATAACTTTTCAAAGATAATATTTTATACACTGATCGAAAAATAGCACCATTTATTACCCTCGTGGCAACATGAGTACGCTTCAATTAAGGCGCACAGCGAGGTGCCACGTTGGCATGGCTACTTCATGTACCTCCAGAAAAACCCAAATAACTTGAGGTGTTGATACATATCTGGAATCAGATCATAGATGTTCCATTGCTAGCCGTTCGCTGGATCGAAGAAATTATCTACTTCGTTGAGAGTTACAGGTAACCTTTCATTGTAGATTCATTTACAGATTAGGATGAAGCTTTGAATTCATAAGCTGAAATTCGTGCTAAACATGGATTTACTATGTTACCTTGGATTGTTTTTCAGAGTCAGGTTGGTTTTGCCGAGAATTTTGAGAGTTCAGAACGAAAGAAAAACTGTGACAATCCTTTAACCTCGAGATTTAGAATAAAGACAGATGGTGTCAAATTTCAGATTAGAATTTTGGATAAAAATATCTATTTTTACAACCAGATTGACTCGATATTCATATACTTCATCAGTTGAACTAAACCCAAACCAGCTTTTTATAATCAAAACGACTTTGTTTTCATTTCTCATTTTTGGCCGTCGGTGTTTAAGTTAAGTCTCTACAGCACAATGTTTGAGTTGAAACGAAGTCGATTACATATTTTCAACCGAGCATACGCATTCTAATTTACAAAAAGTACGTTATCGAAACTTACGATTAGGCCTTCAGAAAGGTCGATTTTGTGGTCGACAACCAGATATATTTTATCCCTGGGTGATCTCGACTATATTGAGCTTTTTAGGCACGAAAACATCATTAAAAAAGTGTTTAGTCTTCAGAACGTATCGATAGATGAAGGTGTTTCGTAGGTGTAACAGTGGGTGTGCCGAACACACCTTCGTCGATGAAAAAAAGGCGAACTTTTCACTTTAATTAGACATTTTTGTAACGTAATTTGTGCTTAAAAATTTTCCACCAAATCAAAATTCCCAAAGAAATATATTTCTAAGGGAAAATTTAATTTTTGAACAGAAATTCAAACACTATGTTTCTTTCTTGTTTCGACCACAATATGCAAATCATGAAGCCATGAGACAATCGGCTCAGATCTGTTACAAGTTTCCGACTTGGAATGTAATTTTCTTATTAAGTAAGAAAAACAAAAAAAGATTGTCTTTCAACGTTAACATGATTTTTTTTCTTGGATAGTTTCCTCGCGCTCAAATATCTTCATAATTATTATCATTGATTCTCCTAGACTTGCGCACCCTTTCTGAACGACTCACAGCGGAAAAAAAAACCACATTTCACTCGAATGCAGTTTTTCCTCTTTCAGTTTTGAGGGTTCACTCTTAGCTCTCCTTTGAAAGGTAAAGAAAATTGGATTAAATATTTGATACCGAACGATCAGCTCATATTCTTTATTCTCTACCCGACTCAAAGATAAGAAGAATTTACAGAAATCCCCTCAAAACAAAAACATTATAAAATTTGATGGCGAGGCAAGCTCTTCCCCCGTACTTTTTCCTGAGGAAAGCAAAGATTTTTTTTTTAAAGGAAATTGATAATTAATTAAATTTCAAAAATCATGCAAAGCGATAGCGGTGCACTCAGATTTACGAAGCTGTGTCAATTTGTTTCAATTATTTCCAAAAAGATACATTACGATAACCATCGCATACACCCCCACACACAACATGAGCGACTCCGAATGGACCTAACCTATGGAGGCAAAAAGAGTGAAATCCAGTCAAATTTCACCTCAGATCGATCCAGAATTTAAAGAGAAAAGAGTAAGTCCTTTCTTCTACAAACTTTGCGCAGAAAAAAATAGGATCAACAGCCAACATTCAAATGGCCAAAATATCGAGTACCAACGACAAAAATGCAAAAATTTTTTACCGTCAACCGTTTATAAAGCTAGCTAATTTTAGCTGTTATTTCTTTTAGATATTCAATTGTAAGAAAGAAAATGAAGATATGAACTATTGGCTACAATGCGCACAAAATGCATTTATGTTCCAGTCTTTTCATTTATTCATACAATTTAAGGACACCAGTGACTTCCTTCTTGAAACACTTCCAGTGGAAAAGCATGTTTGTCCCTATTTTAACTTTGGAGTTAAAAGCTAAGAGTTTCGTCCGGTTAGGACTCACCTTATCAAAAATTGGTTCGTTAAAATTTTCGAGCTAAGTATTACTGAAATTGTATCATTTTATGAATACAGAGACTTTGTAAACATTTATCGTCAAATGGCCAACATTTAAACGTCTCCTGTCAAAACGGCCTATTTTTGATTGACAACCTTCAGAGATATCACCCTTCCTATTAATAACCTCGAACAGGGCTCATGCTCGAAACGTCAGCTCTCTTAAATTCGCCGCAGCTGATTCTCTACTGATTCTGTCTGATTCTCTCTCTGATCTACCATTTGCTGATATTCAAGAGAGAGTATCATTTACTTGTCGACATAGCTAAATGATTTGTTTAGAAAATAGTAACCCTTTCTCAAACAAGCGCATCGTTTGAATACTGTTTCAGACACTGTTTTGCTTTGGTCTTATTTTGTAGAAGCATTTGGTGCCTTTAAATTTTTCACATCTTAACATTTCTATTTATTCATTTATTTATTTTTTCTTAAGACCCTATAAAAAATAACACCACACGTGTCAGAGAATCAAAGCAAGGGAATACAAAGTTCAGAGAAAGATGAGTGCTTGTAACATTTCAACTCAGGCTCCAAGTATAGCGCAGACGTTGCGCGTCAGCCAAGGACCACAGCTCCGTCCAAATGATACAGGTGTCATCGTGTATATCGTCGTCATGGCTGTTATCTTAGCAGTTGGTTTTATTGGCAATGTGCTGACTATATTAGTCTTAAGTTGCCATGAGCACAAAAACAAGAACATCACCCCATTCATGATGAACCTCGCGATCGCTGACATCATCATTATTGTCTTTGGATATCCAGTGGTTGTCGCAGCAAACTTTACTTCCTCCGGGCTCAACGTGCGTAACAGTCGGACCCAGTGCATTTGGTCGGGATTTATCAATGGCTCTGTTGGTATTGCTTCCATTGCAAACTTGACTATGATGAGTCTGTTGATGTATTCTGCCATCAGCAAGGTTAGCAACAATACAAAAATCCCCAGACGCAAGATGGCCATTATCATTATACTTACTTGGGTGTACGGAGTGATAGCTATGGTCCCACCGTTAGTGGGTTGGAACGAGTTCGTCCCAGGCGCCTCCGGCATCAGCTGCTGTCCTAACTGGTCGCCTCAAACAAAGGCTGGAGTGGCGTATAATATGTTGTTGGTTTTTGTTGGCTTCGTTCTTCCACTAACCGTCATTGTCTACTCTTATCACAGGATATACAGGTCAGTGAACCTTTTCTTTTTTTCCTTTTTTTTACTGGGGGAAATTATTGTACTCGACCGATACTTCATATTGTTAATGTTGATAGCACATTTGTGATCTTGCTGTCCGCTATACGTATACTGTTTTTCAATTTTTTTTTAATACATCGCTTGACATTTTGCTCGCGTGAGATACACTTAGCTATGTATGATTAACATCCAGAACGTGGACTTTTTTTCAAGAAAATCGGAGTTTCTTGGTTAAACAAAACAACCTGGTTGATATTGGTTTCTACAATGAAATGAAACTTGAAAAAAGTCATCGGTGAACATTTTAGAAGAAAAAAGAAAAGAAAAAAAAAGAAAAGAAAGAAAAGAACAAGGAAATTACCAAGAAAGCGAGTCACAAAGTTGTTACACATTCGGCGTCGATGTCGCACTAATTGGTCGATAGGGAGAGATGCCATGGCTAAAGAGAAAAATGAGGGTAAATCAAAGCAATCTAGCGCCATCGATTCTCTGATTACGTTAACATGGCTATTTTCTTCTTAGGTATATCCGTTCACAGCGACCAATGCTTGGAAGTGCTTCGATTCAAGCCATCCGAAGAAAATCCGAAATTAAAGTCGTACGCATGATTGCCATGTCAATTGCGGCCTTCGTCTTGAGCTGGTCTCCCTATACTTTCGTCAGTATAATGGCCACCATCCGGGGCACTAATGTACTGACACCTGACTCGGCAGAAGTCCCAGATCTACTAGCCAAGGCCTGGGTTATCTACAATCCCATCGTGTACACAGCAATGAACGACAGATTTCGAAGAACCCTGATGCGAATCCTTCCAATTCGCTGCATCTTCGGCAAGGGACTAAATCCATGGGGAAACACGATGTCGCTCACGGTGGAATCACGCCCCACGCATGCGTATACCATACAGGATCTGCCGAGGGATAGAACCCAAAGTGTGGTTTAATTCAGGTACCTTCAGTGATGATGAACATTCGTCAAAAGCTCCTCTCTCCACCGACGGTGGCCAGTTCCTGCCTGAAATCGGAGCTTAATTCGTGGTTGATGGTGCGCCAGATTTCAGTTTAATTCAAGGAATATTGTATTGCGAATACCTGTACTTTGCCCCTATAAGCCTGTATAAATCATTTATCATGTCTACCCAATCTCTTCCTTTAATCCCGCGGTCGGCGTAACAATGGCAAGGACTAAGGGAAGAAAAGCGGATCCCTGGCGAAGAAAACTTCCTAAGATATAAGATAAAGAATGCTGACCAACCCTTTGCATCAAATGGTCGTGTGATGAGTCATCCACCGACTACAGATAAATTCAATTGTATCAGTTGTCTATCTTCGAAAAGGCTCTGACTTCATTAACTTGTAATTCTCCGATCGATATCTTCGTTCAAAAAATATACTTCAGATAGAATATACTAGCTTGGATATACGCCTGGCAGTGAACTATAAATTTAAGTGAAAGATAATAGAGAAATGTAAACTTGTTTTTATATATTTTATTTGTAGCCCTTAGGCTTCAACAGAATTCGAACCTTTGGTGACTGTCCTTTATCACCGATGCTATGCTTTGTTCAGATTTTATTTTCGTAAAATTTTGATCTGCAGCATGTATAAAATGTTACTGCGTAATTCCTTCACAGATTTATTATGACAGTTAGACATAATAAGCCTGAATAACTCTACTAACTGATACATCCTCAAAGCGGCTAACAAACAGTGATAAAAAAGAGATCGCTTTAAATAAACAACAATGATAACAACAGCAAATAATTGTCTTTATTTTAAAGGTTGCAACCTGGATAAGTTGGAGGCACTGACAGTCACAGTATTACAAATGACAAGAACTTATGTCATGCATCCAAACCAGATTTTAACTGCCTGGGAAAATAATCCCAACAACGAGAGAAACCTTTATTTGTGTCTCGCAAGTAGTCTGGTATTCTTTTTTCATTACTTTAAAATCAATTACATGATTAATCAGTCAGTTTCGCGCTTCCCTCTAAACGAGATGGTAAACTAAAACCAATTTAGTCACGGTTACTAAAATCACGTGAACTTAAGTGCCCCTGTCTGAGAAAGTGTTCCAGGGGCCAGAAGTGGTGGTCAACCGATTTGGCTGAAACTTGGCACAAAAGTTGAGTGTGATAAGATATTTCAAAAGCCACTTTGGCTCACTTCTCTGACTGTTTGTTCTGGAGTTTCATGGGGGTTCCATCTGTAGCCTGTGGAGCACCAAAAATTCATCCTTCTAGTTGGAATTTTGAAAGTCCTATAAAACTCCATTGATGAACTGTGCTGCCAAACGAATTTGACCATGGACTCTACTATAGTGGAGCTTTTCCTTCATAAGTATAACTTTGTTCTCAAGTGATTAGACAGACAGGGGCCTGGGGCTAAAGTTAGGTCAAATTTGAGGTCAAAATCATTACCCAAAATTACCATTTTTCAAAAAACCATAACATTCACCTGCCTTCTTGCTTAACTTTCATACCAAATCCAGTATGTACTTTAGTGACCCATTTATCAACATCAGTTGAGAAAAATTTGGCTTAGTAAGGTTTGTTAGGTTTTTGGCACAAACTCTCCATGCCCCTATAAGGCCAAGCAAAATGGAGTTTTGAGCATAATTCATGCTATAAACAGACCAAATTCTTTACATAAGGCCTTAATTTTGGATTAAGCGAGTGAAAATGAAACCTCAAGCCAAATCAGTGTCATTATCTAGAAATATTTCGACTCATAGCTTGGAAATGCACGAAGAAGGCCTCTGATTAGCACTACAAACACCCAGCGGTTTAGCAAAATAAAGTAAAGTAATAAATGAAACCTTTGTACCCATCGTAGGGCACAAATGACGATGTACTGACCTAGATATGACAATATTTTTTAAAGGTGCTTGAATTTTCTCTGATCTATGTCTGTTAGGCCATATTTCCATACGTATCATACTCCAAGCATGCTAAGTCTCTATATTTTGTCAGGCCGTCTTTTACTTGAAAATAAAGTGACCTTAACCCGGCCTGAACTGTTAAGCTAAGAATAAAACGATCGTTAAAAGATGATTGACGTTTGACCTTTGAATAGGCTGAATAGCTCTCGCAAATACCCATCACTACGCGAGCATGACCATGCATACATAGGCTTACGTGCCGCAGTGAGCACCGTTCACTGAGGTGACCTGTGATCCTCCAGAGATCTTAAGTACTTTACAACTGAACAGATGAAACTATCCAACAAAGAGGGAATCAACAGTCAGAAGAGCTGGATGACAAAAAATTATTGTTGCTGTTTTAATGAAATATTCCACACGAGACAATGAGATGACGCCATTTTGGACGTGAGAGTATTAGGACTGGACCGAGTTTCCATCCCTCCCCCTATTCAAGCGTAAATGTTTGTGTCCTTATCAGTTATTAAAAGAGTAGCGATAAGAAGTTTCAGGAGAATTTTACGATGGCGCTTTGTTCCTTTGGAGGGGTAAATGATCAGTGCGGTGCTTTGTCATGGGCTCTGCACGAAACAAGAATGACTGCTTTGTTGTCTCGCGATAAGGACATGACTGCTTGGTTAAAACATAAGTACAAGAGGTCATGTGTGTCCGGCCGAGGTGAAGACCAGGTGATACCAAAGCTACAAGTACAGATAATAAAAAATATAAGAAAGGGCTCATAGACGCGCTTAAATGTAGTAGATGGCTTTTCAAGTGCCACTCTCGATAAGAGCGGTCCTCTCAACTTTCCGTCCAAAAAAATTTTTCCTTAATTTTTTTCCCTATGAAGAGAGTTTAGGACACATGTTTCGAAAATAGTTTGGTTGTTTTCCAGTTCTCTTTTGTATGAAGATTTAAACTTTCGCGAATTCTCTGCCAAGGGAAGATTAGCCAAGGTGTTGCAAAAGCAAAAATTCAGTCAACTACTGTCATTGTGCTAGTTTTTCGACATTGAAATTATAGGTAATGCTAATTCTAAGCCTTCGTATTATGAACCTCTTCTACAATTAGCAAATTCCTGTGATTACCGCAAGTGATTGTCAACAAACCCGCGTTACTCAAAACTCAGTGAAGGTTGCGTGACTCCTCGACTTGGTCCAGTCCTTTTACTCTCACATCTAATATGGTGGGCTAGTCGATATGATAACAATCGCATCTCGAGGTGCTGCGTGGCATGTTTCACATAAACTGTAACACAAAATATTTGTTATCCAGCTCTTCTAACTGTGGATTTCTTATTTACTGTCGGATGATTTGATTTATCAAGCTCTAACGTATCAGGGAAATCGGATGGATCACAAGTCACCTGGACGCTACTCACTACAACTTGTATATATCATCCTGCTCTTTTACTGATGCCATCATGCGTATTTACAAGAGCTAGCAAAGCTATCAAAAGTTTAACCATAGATCTTCTGTTAACGGTCATTTTCGTTAAGTTCACTTCACAATGCATCAACAAATGGGTCCGACAAACTCTAGAGACTTTGCATGTTTGTGAGTATAGTATGTATGGAAATATGACCTGAAAAATATAAATCAGAGGAACTACAAGCATTTCTAAACAAAAAGATTGTCATATCTAGGTGAGGACATCATCATTTGTGCTCTATGATGGGTACTAAGTTTTCAAAGACAAAAAGTTACCTTTATTTGCTAAACCCGGGTGTATGTAATCCTAATCAGAGGCCTTAAAGCATTTTTAAGCTATAAGTCGAGGTATTTCTAGATAATGACACTGGATTGGCTTAAATGTTTCATTTTCACTCACCAAATACAAAATAAAGGCCTTATGTCAAGAATTTAGTCAGTTTATAGCATGAATTATGCTCAAAACTCCATTTTGCTTGGCCTTAAAGGGGCATGGAGAGTTTGTGCCAAAAATCTAACAAACCTTAATAAGCCAAATTTTTCTCAACTGATCTAGATAAATAAGTCACTAAAGTACATACTGGATTTGGTATGAAAGTTATGTAAGAAGGCAGGTGAGTGTTATGGTTTTTTGAAAAATGGCAATTTTGGGTAATGATTTTGACCTCAAATTTGACCTAACTTTAGCCCCAGGCCCCGCTCTGTCTAATCACTTGAGAACAAAGTTATATTTATGAAGTAAAAGCTCCACTATAGTAGAGTTCATGGTCAAATTTGTTTGATAGCACAGTTTATCAATGGAGTTTTATAGCACTTTCAAAATGCCAACTAGAAAGATGAATTTTTGGTGCTCCACAGGCCACAAATGGAACCCTCCCTGAAACTCCAGAACAAACAGTCAGAGAAGTGAACAAAGCGGCTTTTGAAATATCTTATCACACTCAACTTTTGTGCCAAGTTTCAGCCGAATCGGTTGACCACCACTTCTGGTCCCCGGAACACTTATTTGCATTTTCATGGTTATTTTCCAGGAGAATGTTATTTTCTTAATCTCAGCCAATGTAATGCCTTGTAAACGGCATAATTTCGACAGTGTCCGGTTCGTGTTCATTTTCTAATCAATGCTTCGTAGACTGTATACTATCAGTTTCACAATTAACCTATTTTTTTTTCACATAAATCTGTCTGCAGACGTCTATTTATACCAGTTACCATGGGTGAGTAAGTGTTTTTACGATTTTTTCTTCAAAATTTTGAATTAGAAAAACAACTTTTCTTAGCAATGCCGCTTAATTAATTTCAGAGAAAATTTTGCGGGTAATATCAGTCTCTAAATTGTATACATCACGTGCTTCAAGTCGCGGGTTTATAAATATTTGTTTTTGTACTATTTGTTTTGGAAGTGCTCATGCATGACGCACCGCAATACTACAATATTTAAGCGTTAATTTCACTGGCTGCACAACACACTGAGTATAAAATTTTCCAGTGTGGTGTCCACACCTTAAAAAATAAGAACTAAGAGAAAGTGCAACTTAAAACCTCTGAAGTTCCTTAAATGGCCAACGCCTCGTCAAAGAAGATTATTTTCTACCCGTTCAATTGTAATAAGACATTAAACAGACTTAATGGTCTCATTATTTTATACATTCGAGCATGACTTTCCATCCATTGTTTCAGAATAGACTTAAGTCAGCATCTGCAACTTTTAATAGTTTAAAATTTTTTTTTCCTACGTTTAATTGGTGCATGGAATAATTTGCTAAAAGAAATCGGTGAGGCCGATAATTTGAACACTTTTAAGAATAGATTCAAATTATCATCTTTTGAGGGCTTTACGTGAACATTAAGTTACCTGAAGGTTATCATTGTTATTTTATAAAGTCTTCTTCGTATCAAAACAAAAATATCAGTGTTAAACACGCCTCCAAAATGCTTCTTTGATCGACTCCTTTGATTAATTTATTGGCTCAGAGATACTGTTGAGGCGCTTTATTTTGTTAAGGACGGGGTCATTTAGCTCTAATGTTAGATATTGCAATGTCAACAACGAACCGAAGCGCCTGTCGGAGGCCGAACCCGTATGAAACGCGGTGTATTATTTTTTTTTCTCTCTCTTTTTGTGTCGGTAACAATAAGTTCACAGTTCTTACCTATTTAATTTGTAGTCAGCGCATTTCGTGCACACCTGTCTTTTTTTCCAAATCCGTTTACGTCATTATCTCTTTTTCCCCTGATTCCATGTTAGCAAGGGCTTAGCGGTATACATTGGTTTAAGATAGGGTAGCCAGAACCGGCCTGATATATTACCGCACCTAATATCAGCAGCGCTTTAAGTACGGTTATTTATTTATCTATTTATCTATTTCCAGATATACTGAATTTTC